CTCCTTCCATAACAAACTTCAGAAACATCGAAGCCCTCTCGTTTCTAACCTTGCTTCCTCTTCGATCCCTACAAGGCGTCTGAAAAGAAGATGGCCTCGATATATCCTTTACATTTTTAGAGTGTTGCCAGTGGATTGTTTCTCAACAAGTGGTCTCATGTTATTATATTCTTGTGTTCACATTTACTGAATGTATTATTATTTGTACTACAGTTGTAAATATCATAAATAATAAATTAAATAAAAATTTCAAACCAACATTTCAACCCAACTTGAAAATGTGGAAATTTCATGATATTTAGATAAAAATTAGAAACAATATTAATACAATTATTTAAATTATAAACGTTTATAATCTTAATAAGCTTATTCACACTGCTCATAATTTTTATCTAAATATTATGTAACTTCCACATTTTTTTATATCCTTTTATAACATATGTTTATCTTGTAGCCCTAAAAAAGACTTGCAAAGTTGGATTGGAAAGTTGGCTTGAAATGAATTTTTTTTTTTTTATTATTTTAGTATTTTTATGAACACCATCCCAAACCATCTCCTTCCTCAATAATATACAACGGTCAACCATCAGGTATTCAATTCAACAGTAAACAATGAACGAGCAGATATATGACCGACGAATGTTTCAACTTTAGAATGTGTTTATTTTAAAAAAAATTCTAATTTTTTAAATTTGAAGAATGTGAAGAGTATTCATGATGCTTGTGATTTTTATAGTTTTAAATATTGATAGTTTTCATATTTATCAAAGAAGTAAAGTGAATGAGTCAATGCCATGGGTAGTAAGAGGAAATATATTAAGAATGTATTTGAACATTAATTAATATTTCTTATAACTTTATTTTTATTTACTGAACATACACATCATTTTTAGATAAATAAATAAACCTATAGCACTACAACCCATGAAGGGTTTTGGATTCAGTAATATTTAGGGAAAATACTGTTTGTTATTCAACGGTTTTGCAAAGAGGTGATTTGACTCAGATCAGGCTCAATCGCCAGGTTTTCCTCCTTAATTAATTATTTTAATTAATAATTATTTTAAGCCCATTTTATAGAGGCTGGGTGTGCCACAGGAGAATCTTCTGACCCCAGGGTCGCTCCACGGCCGATGAAACCGAATAAATATTTGTTTGCCATGAGATGGGATTCGAACATGGAACCTTGAGCATTGGAAGATCAGTGCCCTACCACTGAGCTACCCCGCTCTTTTTAGATGAATTAACATTTATAATGAAAGTACGAATTTACGATTTAAAATATTATTAGGTTAACAGCTTCTTTTTTTTTATCTGTTGGCATTACAGACCATGTAGATCTTTTGCCGCATAACTAGCCTTCATCTTTGTCTGCTTTAGGCTATTTCTTTCCATTTATTTGCACGCAACTCTATCACATCTTTGTTGATTCTATCTATCCATCTGCTTTTTGGTATTCCACATAGTCTTTTGCCTTCCATTGAGGAACTCATTGTTATGTACAAGCTTCTAGATGGATTGCTACGAGCTAAATGTCCCGCCCATCTTAACCTCTGTGCCTTCATATCAACGGGTACTGATTGACCAGTTTCTGTAAGTTCTTTATTGTTCTTTCTTCTCCATGTGTTAGTACTCTGATTCCAGACCGCTCCGGTTTTCGTGTTTAATACTAACTCTATTAAGCATTATAAATATATTAATTTTTACATTGTGCGTTCCGAAGTCTTACTATTACCGATTCCATCATTAAAAAAAAATTAATAATTTTACCATTTTTTTTTGTTTATTTAATGAAATTTACAACTGTATACAAATACAACTAGTAAATATGCGCAAATTATAAATAATGGCATGTACAGGCTTGAAGAGATAATACCCAGTGGTAGCACTATCTAAATAATTTTAAGTAAGAAGATCACGAAGCCATCTCCTTTTCAGACGCCTAGGAGGATTATCAGATATCGAGGAAGAAGCAAGAGTGGAAACAAGCGGATTTGGATGGGACTGAAATTTATCATGAAAGGATAGATATCTAGCTCGAGCTAAATCAGCGACATATGGTACATTAAGGCCTTTATGAATGGTTTTATTTGTGACAAAGCATGGAGCATTAAGGATTTTACGGAGGATTTTGGGTTGTAAGGATTGGATACGATAGGAATTCGATGGTTTGGTGGAGTCCTAAAGCTCAACTCCGTATGTCCATATTGGTCTTATTATAGTAATGTAGATAAGTCTTTTGTAATTAATTGAAAGTTTGGAGCGTTTGTCTAGTAAGTGTTGGAGCAGTCGGAAACGTCGAGCAGTTTCTTGTCGTTTCAGCCTAGTATGAGGATTCCAAGTAAGAAGTTTATCCAAGTGGAGTCCTAAGTAGCGGATTTGCTCAACAGGAATAAGTGGAGTATTATTGAAGGATACTGTAGGGCAAGAAGTCATAGGTTTACGACGGAGGATAAAGGTGATTTGATGGGATTTGTTGGAATTTATTTATATTCTCCAATTTTTACACCATTCTTCAAGGCTTGTGATATGTGATTGAAGAGTTTGGGATGCAATTAAAGGATCGTTATTAACAGATAGCAAACATGTGTCATCGGCGTAAGTGGTGATGACAGTGTCAGGATGGGTTGGGATGTCAGCTGTATAAACTATGTAGAGGATGTGACCGATGATACTACCTTGTGGAACGCCTACAGATTGAGCAAAGAGGGAATTTTTACCTTTTAAAGCTGAAACGTTAAATATAAAGGGAGGCAAAATGGTTCGATGGTGATTCAACAATTGCGATTTAGAAAGAAGTAGTAGTAGTGAGGATATCTGAACAAAACGGGAACCAATAAAGGTGATAAATAACTGCAAACCTAATCACTAGTCCTGCAAATATCCTCAAACGATATTAATTAATAAATATATTTTCGCCCACATAGAGTTGATTAATTCTATTTTATTTACTTTAATAACAATGTTTATTTTTCCTTTATGTGTACACTTGTGTCTATTTATGGACACCGCGATCCAATGAGGAAAAGATCACCCAAAATTTATCTCAATAGGCTATGATAAGCCAAAAAAATTCGTTTCACCGTAACCACAACATCCTGCTTTAGTCTACGACGATTCTATCGTCTGCGAAGTTTCCATAAAGGATTCGTTTTAGAAGTGTATTGCAATCTACCCGTTGTGAATTAGCCTATCATTTTTTCTAATCTTCCATCGTCATCCTCATCACGATATCTGGCGCGGCAACCCGTCACTTGGTCTTAGCCGTCTCGAAAAGCGTCTGCCAGTTGGATGGATCTATCCAGGGATACTTAGACGGAGTTCGATATTCAATGGCACTAGTTCCTTCATAATATATTTAAAGGGGGCATATTGTTAGAGAATTACGAATTTGAAATTACATATAAACCAGATAACAAGGAGAAATATGAAAAACCCACATCAAGTGTAAGGAATTCATTTAAGTCTACAAAAAATCCACACATCCCAGGTCTTCCCACTCATTTTGACTGGTGAAGTTCTTTTAACACTAATAGCTTGCTGATCTCAGAACCATTCATTCCAGAGACATGCCCAACCCTCCGTCTTGTTAAAGAGCGCATTCAGTTCTGGATTATTTCTTCAGTACCAAACCTGTTGTTAACAAGTCCTTCTTTGTGACACCATAACCTTCTGAGCATTATGTCAACGCTAGAACATTAGGTTCGATTTCTAACCAGTCAGTTAACACTAAGGAAAAGTTAGGCGCCTTTCTTTATTTCCCAAATCCATAAACAAAAATGTATGTTTTAATATTAAAATAATATCGGTTTAATTTACATTTGCTGAGTATTAACCTCTCTTCCTAACTTTTCTAAAATACTTGTAGATATATACTTTGTGTAGATAGTTCCGAAAACTAAATAATCATCAACAAAACAGTTTTGGTGGGTATAGTTTTAGGTTTGGCATCTATTGAAAGGAGTACCTAGAAGATAGTAACATGGCACAAATTGCTCCATTAAAGTCTTTTTAAGAGAAATTGGATTATAAATTTTTGTAGGGTTTCAATTTCAGGAAACTTACAAAGTATAAAAGAAGAGAACAAAAAAGAACAGGCCAAAACAAGGTTAATTTTACACGAACTATAATTTTTATAATTTTGCTTCCGCTTGCACTATTTTTAAGAGCAGAAGTGCAATACAATTTCTTGGGAAGGTGAATGCGAGCGCCATCGATTTTAAGAGGGCGGTGTGGCCTAGAGGATTTATACGTTTGCAGTACACACGATGCCTAGCAACTTGATAACCTAAAGATTACGAGTTCGAGTCCCATTGCCGGGGCATTTAATTGCTCGCCCTCTCCCCTGGCCCAGGAACAACCTTGTATATCCCAAAAGGCGAGGTATAGAAGACAAGAAATAAATCATGATCATAGAGATCATGAAGAACTATTGGGTTATACTATGAATTAGTTCAGGTAGTTCCTTTCTTTCCTATTTATTGACAGATGTAATGATTAATTTGAATTATTTTATACCAAATAAAAAATTACTGGAATATTTTCAAAATTTTAATTTGTTAAATGAATAATATTTCTCAAAACTCATTACAGGCTGATATAAAGCTGGTAGAGAGGATGTGTGGCTGGAGAGCCCGAGGCCGATTATTGTATTATATCAATAGGAGGAGATGGGGAGAGAGCGATAGGTGGAGGAATCCTTTAGAGTGTGGCCCCAATGGCCGGTGGCGGGGGAAAGTAATTCCCGAGATAAGGAACGGCCTGACAATCTACAAAATCAATAACATAATTATAATTAACCCAGGCAATTTCTGCGGGAGGGTGGCGCTCTCCCCCCTCACTCACTCTCTCTCTCTCTCTAGGCGAGGGGGAGGGGGTGAGTATAAAAGTAATCTCATTTAGGGCGGAGGGGTGGGGGTGGTTGCGGCACGCGCCGGCAGGCCCCAGTGCGCATGCGCCCACCCCCACCCCCGCTCCTCCGCTAGTAGCCCGCTTCATTCAGTCGCTCCAGAAGCTCGGATTAGGAGTTAGTGTTGTTGTGTTAGATGATCGCTTGAGTGACCGACAATTCGGCTTTCTTCGTCCTCTGTAACCTCGACGTCGGGAGCAGATGATTACCACGACAGAGAATAGGCTTCAAGCCTCAGCTCAAGTTACACAGCAAGGTACTTGCCAAATTGCTTCATTAAGTTTGGATTGGATGAAATTTTCAGATGCTATATTTGAAGAATATAACTCCTATAAAATAAAATTTATTTTATTAAGAATCATTCAGATCAAAACACCAACCTTTTCACAATATAATAAAAAATGTTACTCATTGCTCCAATAAATAACTACCACCAAATCTTCCTATCAACAAACATTAGAAAATATAAAGATTCCTCGAATATGCTAAGAGCAAAATGGTTTCACAAACACAAATGGTATTAAATTAAGTAAATGTTACATTTATATGAAACCAACAATATTTGCTTAAAAGTTTCATCTATAGATAAACGAATTCAAAAATACTATCCCACAATGTTTTTATAATAAAATACTAACAATTTAAATAACAATACAATCATATTGTTTCAGAGAGCTTATTATTAATAAATTCAATTCAATCTTTCTAAATCTATTTCAGTTCAAAATTTATAAGTTGCTGTAAAAAAAAAAGATTTTCAATATTCTGGATCAAAAATATATTATTTTCATTTTAGTGAACTTATATTATATTTTCCATCATTTATCAAATACTGTTAATTTTCAAGCCCAGAATAATAATATGTTTATTTTTGAAGTTATCAACGGTGTAATGTTTGGCGGGCTTTCTCGTGATCACATGGCATCCGATAATACCCAGGGGATTTGGCGCGTTAAATTTAAATGTTTCATTTTAAACTCGATGGAGTTTTAAGTCGGGTAAGAGACTATAAACATTTTCTCTTTCTTTCTATATCCTAATGGTGATCCATTTAGAGACTTAGTTATCTTTCTGTATAGATTAAAAGCGTGTTTTCTGATCTACGCCTTCAGGTCTTCGTTTGTTTTTTATGTTTTCTAAAGACTTTCTTGATAAAACGAAGCGATATTGTAATTATTAGTTTTTTCTTGATAACAAGTGTTAGAATGCATAATTAAAATCCAAAAATCCTTTATATTATTAAGTAGTTATATTGTCTTAATATAAACAAAAAATATTTTAAAATGCACCTTACATATTAACTGTAACATAATTTCTTTTACAACAAAAATTAATATATATGTATATACATATCATCCTCTATCCCCCCTAAATATTAGTTTATCGTACAGGACCCACGAGATAAATTTCAATATTTTGGTTATTTTTGTTTTGGATAATACCTACTGTCCATGTTAAAGTGAGGAGCACTTGAGTGCGTTAATAAGCAAACATTTCTTATTTATATATTTATCCATACAATCATACGATATATTTGGACTGAAATGAACATTATTCAGAAGATTATGTTTGATCATATATTATGAAAAAGTAAGTCTCTTCGGTGAAGAAGGTTTATTTTCATATGTGTTTCATATGTATTCATAATAGAACAAATAATTATTGCTATAAAACCTTTTTATCCTAATAAATGAATTAAATTTAATGAGTCATTTCATAATGATGCTTTATCTAAATGAACAATCCATTTTCAATTAAAAATAAGCTCTACTAAACTAATCAATATCACAAAATTAATTACTGACCTTTAATTTAGAGAACCTTTAATTTCTGTTTAATACATTAAGTACTAAACAATTATAAAATAATTAATATACTCTTATATCTAAAATTATAATCACAATATTTTAATAACATTAACATAAATAATTATATTTATTTTTACTAATTTTGTTTGACTGATCATCCAAACCATTCTTCTCTTCAGTTATTCACTACAGTCTACCATCAATCCACAATTAAAAATAATATTTAATTAATTTTTAGTATATTCAGTAAGATAATCTTTGTTTAAATTAATTTAGACTATTTTATTAATGTTTTACTATCAATATTTTTTATCGAGCACTAGTTATTTCCTTTTAATGTACCATTTTTATCAAATGATTATTATTATTTTTTCTTTGGCATTCTAATGAATACATATTTTAAAATAACTTCTTCATATAACTATATAATATGATACACTCAATCGGCAATCATTTAATGTTAAAAAATGTTATTTTTACCCTAGATAATATTGACTGATATTTTGATTTGTTTGCCGATTGGAACATATGTATTATTTATACATCATGTGATTTAATTGTCATGAATGTAATTATTTTAAATTAGACACCTGTAAAACCTCAGGTGACATATCATAGTAAGGGATCGATATATATAGAGTGTAATGTTTTTTTTAAAACTATTTTTATGTATTAAAAATTTTATAATTTTATTGTATTAAAATTTTATAACTATATCATAAACTAAATTGAAAATATAATAAAAATGACGTGAAATTTATTTCTGTGTTATATAAAATACGATACAAATTTACAATTAATATTATTGGGTAACTATATTAAACGATTTGTTTTTGTTTTTTTTATGAAAAATCACTTTTCATTGATACTTAAACCTAATTGGATGTGTTTGTAAGAAGGGTTATCAATCAAGAAATATCGATTATCAAAGCAAGTACTAAAATAATATTATTTTATTAATTAAACTACAGTTACTGAAAAGATTTTTGTGTAATCGTATTGCAAGTTTTAAAAAAATCTATATTAGTATGCAATAATAGAAAATAATAACCTGAAAATAGGCAATCCGATATTATTAAGATTAGGTACTGATTAGGTTAGATTACTGATTATGGTAGTACTATAGAAATTTAATGTTGAAAATTGAATATCAGCTGAATAATAAATTGTTATTTAACTCACCCATATTTTATTAATGCTATTTTATTTTAACTATTTCATCCGATAAGACTAAATAATTTGTTAGTTCCGCAAAGTATCCCTTTAAAAATAACCTTCCGTTCAATTACCAAGACAGCCGTTGTTTCAATTACTTTATTTCTATTTCAAGAATATTATCACAGATTAAAAACATTTGATAATGGCTGGCATACACAGGGGAGGAATCTACACCAGTAACAACGAAATTCCAACCAAGATTAGGTATTTTAACTAAACTGTTTTACTGTCTAAGTCCTGTTTATTTCGAATACCATCCGGGAAATAAATAGAGCTCAAAGAATGAACTGCACTAGATGGCATACGTTAATTCCAATTCACTTTATCTGCTTGCGAGATTCAGAAAATAATACTAACATTATTTAAGTTTGAAAAAAAAAATTAAATGAGTTTTGCATAGAGTAAACCACGAAGAGGATTTAAGATTATTGCATTTTCCTCTTCCAGTACTATTTTAAGTATAATATCAATTGATTAGATGTAAACTTGATAAATGTTCAAAACTCACAATGTATCATTATGGTTATAATTTAGCTGTATACCTAATTAACTAATTTATTAGCTTTTTTCACCGTGGACGAAATTTATTTGGCTTCATAACTTAAAATTTTAGTTATGGGGTCGACATATTTTCTCTAGATCTTTTACTATTTATTATCTTTAATACTCTTTTATTATCTATTATTTTTATGTAAATAAGTTTTGTCCAAAATCGATCTTGGTCATGCACTCTGCAAGACCAAGACCAATGCCGCCTAACTGTGACAAGACCAAGACCAAGATTAGACAAAAAAAATCGTATCTGTTAATAAAAATCAAGGCAAAATAGTCACTAATACTTCAAAATTTGAGTGACTATATATGTAAAGAATTGGTATAACCAATATACTTTTGCATTCAACTCTTCCAATTTTTTTATTTATACTTAGTTAGCTAATTGGTAATAGGTAACGAATAAACCTTATATGTAAATGCGAACTTTTGCGAGACCCATGCGAAAGACCAAGATTAGTCTTAGTCTCGCATTTGGGGAACACTAATGCAAATAAATAAAAATTAAACCTGTCAGTTAGCTGGAGGCAACTCACACCGACCGGGCGTTGGAGTGATGACTCTACCCTGTGTACCTTAATCTGGAATCGCCATATAGTTGTCCAGGATGTTAGTAAAGTGGTAGAAGTTTGGTCCATTGACGGTTGGTTCCGAGGTAAGAAGTGTAAGTCCTATTGCGTCTGTTGACCCTCAGCAGCCATAATCTATAGATCTAAACAGATTTGTCACTGCCCCTGAACCTGAGTGATAGAGATGAGAAGGATATACTTCCGTATTTGTATAGAAAATGCATATGGTTGTGTGTACTTGTTCAATTTAAAAAAAAAGAAATCATTTCTCATAATAATAATTAAGTTTTTAAAAATTAGTGAATATAGTTTGATTTATTTCGAACAAAAAATATCCTAATTTGAGAATAATGCCATGAATTATCTCATAGTCACTTGTTGTACTGGCACTTTCCACTAGTTAAAAGGCATTCGTCCTAATCAAAAATGGACACTCATTATAAAACTCCTGGTTTTCTACTCATTTAATAATCATTCGAATGTACCATAAATAGTTTTTTTAAATTCTTAAGTGAACATCTCAGTTTACTTTAGAACAACTGAATCACCAATGAACTACGTAAGGTGTACCACGAAAACCTTTTAAACAGACATAAGTTTATTCGCGGAACGATAAAATAAAATAATTAATATTAAGAATCTGTATTTAAATGATTATTAGAACTGTATGTGGTCGAGCTGTTTAATGCTCACCTTATAAATTAAATAGAGAAGAATTCTTAGTGCGTTTATTAAAATTAATAAAAGACTATAAAATTAAAATTAAATAATTATATTTCATTCTACAGTTGCAAGGGACCTTTAGTGGTAGGGTCCCATATCACATTAAACCTTTGAAAAAAAGACTATATCCAAGGGCCAAAGGAGAGGAGATCGGGAATCACTACGATATACCTTAGCCTAAGAAGCTAGCTACCTTTGTCAGCCATTAAAAGAGTTTCCCTTTTGTGGAATTTAATGAGGTTCTGATGAGAGAAACCAATTTATATCCTTTTTAATTAAATCTCTCTTAGAAAATGAGATTTCTTCCAAAGCCCTCCTCATATAGCCTTTTAACAAACACGTAGTCGAAAGAGAATCGATTTTTAATCGAGCGATGAGAGTAAATT